TTTTTGTTTGTTTGGGTTTTTTGTTTGTTTTGTTGTTGGCAGTGGTTGGTTGGTTTTTTGGTTTTTTTCGATGCATAACATACATGCAAGTATGCACCTAGAATGAATAGTGGGTTTGCTATCTGCCTTCATGAGATTATTTCTGTAAAAGCACAAGCATTTGGAATTGATTGGTAGATTCAAATTGATATTTTTATTTCATTTTTTTTTAGTACTGTGATAGTCAACTGAATAAATATTTAAATAGTGCTTAATAAGGCAGGGGACGGGTACTGCTATTGCCTAACCAGTTACGTATGGTCAAAGTTGCTGCTCCTGACATACTTTCTGCTGTTCTATGTATGTTTGACCAAGTAACAGCCAGCTCATGTATGTTTTCTTAAAAGTGTGAGTCTATAACTTGTGCTTGCAGATGCAGTGGCTTTTCCAGAGCTGTTGGCTTAGTCTGCATTTGAAATATATAATCCTTTGCGTTTGGATTTGGTTTTCAATATATATACATATACACATATACAAACATATATATATTTGTAATTTCCACCATAAATTTTAGGGGATTAAAAGTCCCAAGATTATATATATAGGAATCTAAAATAATGGGATCATAAAAGGTGGGGGAGGGAAAAGTCCCATCTGCAAGCAATAAGGAAGTTAATAAGTTTTGTTGGCTTCTGTGTATGAAAATGAGTACCATACTATTTTCATTGTTAACAGTTTGATGTCATGGTTCATGTGCACAGTGCTTGCTAATTCTGTTAAAGCACTATTTTCTCAGATAGGCTTAGTCTGATTTTGTGAAGGAATAAATTATACCCTGGGAACCTAATATTAACAATATGGGAAGGCTCCAGAGATTATGCAGCAAATATTGGTACTTGCATGCAGATTAGAAAGTATTTTTACTCTTATTAGTTGAGCACAGCAATTTCATCAGCTTGTATACTGCCTAGCTGCTTCCCTTTGTTGCTGACCTGTAACTGACTGATTCCTGTTTGCTACTGGAAATCGTGATATTACCACATGACTTGAAGAGAAAATTAAGATATTATTTTCTGCTTATTTATAGCTCTGTTAGGTATTTATCTGGTTGAATGGAAAATGTTATGTCTGTAAAGGTTTATGCAGAGTGTTATCAATCTGAAATGTCAGTTTAATGAAGCCTTTGAATGGTAGCAGACTGCTTTGTAATTTAATAATTGCATATTGTTAAGACTGTTGCTACATTTGTGTTCAAAGACTTTACCACTTGTCTTAAATGCTAATGTATTACCATTGGTTTTAATGTCATTTGATAGCGTGTATGGTTTGTGTTTTAGATGTGACATCCAAATAGAAACAGTCCTATTACATCTGGAACTGTTTAAGTGCTATTTATCACTTTTGTGAAGGAGAAACAGATGATTTATTCCTTCATATGTAATAAACTATAAATTTGACCTCACTTCTTTCTTTCACAGATGCAGAACTAGTGAACTTCAAATTTGGAAAGAAAAAAGACAAGAAATTAAAAAGATAGCAGGTAGCATAGAGCTCTGGATTACCGATTCCATTTGCGTTCTTTGAAGGGCTATATTCTACCTGTGAGATTGGTGTTTGTATCTTAAGCTTTCCCCATCTTTGACCAAAACTATAATCCACATTGGTTTATGTTTCCGGGCATCTTTTAGACTTTCAGAGACTTGCTTCATTTGGAGATCTTTACCCTTTAAATTAACACTAGAAAAGATAGTATTTTTCCTTTTCTGACTAAGTGTATATTCTTGCTGTCTCCCAGACCCTGTCATTCCTTTTGAAAAAGCATCAATCTTTCCCGAAGTCTTGGAGACATTCTTCTAAGAGCTCCAGCCCTTCCTGTGATTTAAATGCATTCCTAGCCAACTTGACAGCAGTAGGAAAAAACCCTCACAGGTGTGAAGGCCAAGCATTCATCTCCATTTGGGATTAAGACTTAGTCTGTGGTCAGGCATCCCAGAAATTCTAGCAGCAACACAAATGTCAAATACTGCACTCTGCAAGTAACATTACCCAGGCTACATCATGACCTTCTTCACTGTAACACACCAAAAAGAAAAGGTAGAGTGGAGCAAGGAAATTTAATTTATTTATTTACAAAATTAAAATCTAATTTACATAGATATGGGCATGTCTTCTCATGAGAGGAGGAACAAGAATCCACATTATTACAGCTCATTCTCATACAGCTACAGCTCTGTTCTGCCAGAGAAGACTGTGGCTCAAGGCTCTCTCAGGAGCATCTTTAATAAATTTCCCAATGAAAAGTCACTTCAGATTGTAATTTATGCTTAATATAAAAACATTAAATTCTGGCCAAGAAGGCCATAACCCAGTTCCTTAACACAGGCAGCACTGGACACACCTCAAGCTAAACGTGGGAAGATTTCGGGTATCACCAGCCATGGAACAAGACTACAGCAACGGGCAAACCCTGCAATTACAAACAGAAGAGAATAAATGCAAGTTAAGTCCATTTTAAAGGAAAAAGTAAATAATGTCCAAACTAATCAAGTAAGGGGGATGCAGTTTTCATGTTCAGATTCTTGGACGGTTCCAGCAACACGCTGCCTTTAACAGAAGGACAGAGAATAAGTGATTTTTAAGGCAGTGTGATAAACGCTAGTGCATTTCATATCATATTAATTACAGGAATATTCTTAACGAGCAGAAATTGCCGCCCTCGGGTACGAGTCGCAGGCAGGGCACCCCGGCGGTCAGCGAGACGCCTCAGCAGCCCCGGCCCGGGGAGCGGCAGCGCGGCGGGCAGTGATGACGTCAGTAGTGCGCCGGAAGCCACCTGACTGGAGAGCGGCAGGCGCTCCGTGTTCCCGGTGCAGCCGGTTCTCCCGGCCCGGCCTCCCCCGCCCCTTGCAGCGCTCGGCGCTCCTCAGGCCCCGGGCTCGCCCCCTTTCGTCCCGCCGCGGGTGCCCGTAGGCTGTGGCGCGGGCCGCAGAAGTGCCGGGAGCCGGTCCTGCCGTGGAGCGATGGCCGCAGGGAAGCCCCAGCCCGGTCCGGGCTCCGGGGGGCCGCGCGAGCAGTGGCGACTGCCCGCCGAAGGACACCCCGCGCCGGGCCGACTCCTGAGGTGAGCGGCGCGGAGTCTCCAGCCTTCGGCGTGCTCTTTGTGTGCGGAGGTACCTAGGGCGGGCGAGGGGAGCCAATCGTGCCGGCTGCGGAGCGCCTGGGAAACAGCCTCGTGCACGGGGCTCCAGCATCGCCTTCGGCGGCCCTTAATTTCAGTATTAGCTTCACATATTGAATACAACAAACACCTTAGAGCTTACCGGATTTTTTATTCAGAGGCAGCCTGTTAGAATGTTTTAAAGAGAACACAGGCCTATCTGAACAGCAGATGTGCTCAGCTATATGTGCTGAGGAAAGCTGTCAGCAGTTAAAAGTTACTGTATGAACTTGTGACTCGATAGGGGCAGCTGTTTCTGTTCATTTGACACCCAGAACTTTCTTGTGTTTTTTATCAATAATGGCATGCCATGTGCAGCCTTTTATAGTGAAGACTGTACTTTTCTGTACTACTATGCCCTGTTAAGGGGTGTACTCTAAGATCTTATTCTATGAAGGTAAAGTGTGTACAAATAAACATACTGTTGAGTCCCACTCAGATTCCTCAATTCTTTCAGTTTGGAAGCTTCCATTAAATTCAGACAGTTGTCTAGTGAATGGAATTAGACCTTCCAGAGAAAATAAATAATTATGATTTTTAAACTGTTTACGTGACATTAGTCTTGCTAAATCAGTGGTCCCAGGAAGCTGAGATGCTACAGGATAGTATAAGTACACGCAGATCACATATTTCAGGAGGTGGTATTCAATTTCACAGTTAGTGCTCAGTGGAAATAAACATGGAAAATAGGAAAAAAGACAGAGGAGGGTTTTTTTTTAATACATCTAGGTCCAAGTGGTGCAACTGTGTCAAAACTGATAATAGACCAGCACAAGCTCAGGTCCTTACACAAGCCAAATTCAAATATGACTAATGTATCCTTCACCCAATTTGTTGGACATCTCTTTGTATCTTTTTTAAAAATTACTAGTTACCTGCTTTGTGTTTAAAATAGTTCAGGAGAAAGATACGAATAAGTTCTGTCAGTAACTAGCTTATTGCTCTGCTTATGTGCTTTGGTTTTTTTCTTTTATCAGTATAATCCATGAGTAAACTAAGACAGTGTTTACTTGTTATAATAGGTTTAAAACTTAAACTAACCTTTACCTTATTGGACTCAGAATTTGAAAGTGTTAACCTAAAACAAGAAAGATATTAACATTCATAATGAATTCTAACATTCACTACCTGCATACAATTTACTTTTAAGTCTGGTAGGGGACAAATGATAGTTCAAAGTGCATGCAAATGCTTAGTCCTAACCTAATGAATACTTTAAAAAGCATTTGTTCACTTCATTCTATGTGTTAACGTGCCATTTGGAATACTGATGTACCAGTAATAAAGATGTGATTCTTACCTTGTTTTCTGAACAGAACTAATACAGTATTTTGATGTATCACAGGTAAATTTTTCCATAACCTTATGGAGAAAAAGGACTTTGAAGCATGGCTTGATAACATTTCTATTACATTTCTTTCTCTGACGGACTTGCAGAAAAATGAAACTCTGGATCACCTGATTAGCTTGAGTGGAGCAGTCCAGCTCAGGCACCTCTCCAATAATTTAGAGATTCTCCTCAAGAGGGACTTCCTCAAACTTCTTCCATTGGAACTTAGTTTTTATCTGTTAAAATGGCTTGATCCTCAGACCTTACTCACATGTTGCCTCGTCTCTAAGCAGTGGAACAAGGTTATAAGTGCCTGTACAGAGGTGTGGCAGACTGCATGTAAGAATCTGGGTTGGCAGATAGATGACTCTGTTCAGGATCCTCTACATTGGAAGAAGGTTTACCTGAAGGCTATTTTAAGGATGAAGCAACTGAAGGACCACGAAGCCTTTGAGACATCCTCTTTAATTGGACACAGTGCCAGAGTATATGCACTTTACTATAAAGATGGACTTCTGTGTACAGGTAGGAAGGACAGACAACTTGGAGTCTTACAGTTCTTTATTTTCTCTTCCCCTCCTATGGTTATTGACAGTTTTCTTTTCCTTTACCAGACAGATTATTTTCATAGTGCAGATGCAGTTTAGATGATTCAGAATTACTTTTTTTTTCAATTTCTGAAGCACCTGCTGCACTAATAAACCCATTAGTCACTTAAATAAGAAAACAAGGAGATCAATTTCTCTGTTAGTTAAAAAAATAGTAACAGCACGTATCATTGTCCCTGCCCATGGCAGGGTGGTTGGAACTAAATGATCTTTAAGTTCCTTTCCGGTCCAGAACATTCTATGACTCTGTTCATGCTGTTGCTATTAGTAAGCTCATTTGAGAAGTACGGATATGTTAGTTATCCTCTAGGAGGATAACTTTCGGTTAAAGGGGCCTTGTTTGGGCTGTGTGAGCACTTCAGTCTCCCAAAGTGTGGCAGAGAAAGTACTCTATCTTCTTCCTTGAAACAAGACTGTAAGCACTTTCAGTTCTTAACCTAAGTGCTTTATGAAGACGTGTAAACTAGATTAAACCTTGCTATTAGTTTGACTTGCACATAATTTCAGCTTCCTCCCTGAACACTGCAGATTCCAAGATTTCAGTTTGAACTTAAGAATACAGACAGAACATATATGAAGCATTAAGTGTGAAAGAACAGTAACAGAATTACAATGAACTGCTGTTAGAGCATATTCCAAGGATTTCCCAATCATTTGAGATGACAACATTATACACTAAGTTGAGAATCCTGACTAAGTGCTCCCACATTTGTTGGTACTGTAAGGTGATTACTAGAAACCAACAACTGAAACTGAGAGAGCTGGGACTTTTTATCTTGAAGAAGATAGGGCTCAGGATGTTATCAGTACCTGAAGTGGGGGTGCAAAGAAGAGGGAGCCAGGCTCTTTTCAGTGGTGCCCAGTGATGGGACAAGAGGCAGTGGACACAGACTAAAACACAAGAGGTTCCCTTTAAACACTTTTTTAATGTGAGAGTGATTTTACTTTTCTTACTATGAGAGTGATTGAGCACAGGTTGCCCAGGATGGTTTGGAGAATCCATCCTTGGGCTCACTCAAAAGCTGTCTGGTCATAGTCCTGGGCTGTGGGTGGCCCTGCTTAGTAGCGGGACTGGAAGAGTTGACCTCCAGAGGTCACTTCCAACGATAACCATTGTGTGATTCCTTGTAAATGCTATGTTTATGACAAACAAAGATGAGTATAGGATTGGAAATATTATTTACTCTTTGCTTCCAGTTATCCTGTTCTTTTATATTCTAGGATCAGATGACTTGTCTGCAAAACTGTGGGATGTAAGCACAGGTCAGTGCATATATGGTATCCAGACACACACTTGTGCTGCAGTGAAGTTTGATGAACAAAAGCTTGTCACAGGATCTTTTGATAACACAGTAGCCTGTTGGGAATGGAGCTCTGGGGCAAAAACACAGCATTTTAGAGGACACACTGGTGCAGGTATGTTGAAATTTTCAATTTGTAATTTCACCAGTCAGGTAACATATCATCATCAAACAAATTATAATTTAGTTAGCTCTTTGCACATTAGCTTTTTTGATTTTTATAGGCTCTGTCCTCAGTCACTTGAATCACCTCAGTTCCCCCATAGCAGGGGAAGCGACCAGAACAGATCTAAATCTGTCCTGGAATATGCCAGAGCTTATTTTAGCCATGTAGTATTTTGCAGTTTCATGGAAGTAATACTAAATGCCATGGTTATTCAGTAGTTTCATGTCTACCAAAACGATGCAAACCTTAGATAACATATGGCCATGGCCATTCTTTATATCCCCAGACTGTAGATCAGCTTACAGCAAAGAGCAGAATAGGACCTGGGAATTTGTATTTGCATTTCCCTCATAATTAAAGTCTCTGTCCTCTGCTTCAAAATATCCTCAACTCAGCTGTAGGTCTGTTCCCCTGTGAGTAAAGAGATCTATCAAATGTGCTAATCCTGCTGAAATTGTCTTACTAGAACTCTGGAAATAAGAATTAGTTACACTGCCATAATCCAGCCATTAAGGAACCACTGATGTAAATGCTCTTAATTTGGACAAAACCCTCAGTAATTTTGCAATGTAAACTTAAGAATCCAGAGCAACAATTCATGTATACAGTTCAAGAACAACAGTTAAAGATGAAGTAGCACATGAATTTAGAGGCTTCTAAATTCATAGAGAGGCTACTAGTTAGTGTCTCACAGAAGAACACAGAGACTGATATTCCTTATTTAGTATCTCTTTGCTTGTAGTTTTTAGTGTGGATTACAATGATGAACTTGATGTTCTGGTCAGTGGCTCTGCAGACTTCACTGTGAAAGTATGGGCCTTATCAACAGGAACGTGCCTGAATACCCTTACTGGACACACAGAATGGGTCACTAAGGTGGGAATATTGATTTCTAATTAATCTCGCAAACACTTGCACTGAATTTGTGATGTGTTCTAAATTTTGTTTTTCTAATCCTAACCCTGCAACTAGTTGTAGAATCTGGAGAACATCTGGAAATTCTGCAAAATAATATTTCAATAGGAAAAATAAAGTAAGCTATAATTAAACTTTTCAGACCATTGAAGATATTTCTGTTCCAAAACAGCTGAAGTAATATTAGGAATCAGTGCTTGATTCAAAGACTGAATAAAAACTGGTTCTGAAAGAATGCTGCTTTAAGAATGATGTAAAAAAATCTAATGATCTTGATAACAAAAATTTAAGCATGAAACAGTATTTTTCTTCTGATTATTTCAGAACTTGGAAGATCGGGGGTGACTCTGCAGGTGAAGGGTATATGTGTGCTTATTAATAGAGTAAATTGGCACTAGCAGGAACAATAAAAGCGTAAACTAGTTTTCTTTCGGTTGCTAAAAGTATTTGTGTTGCCTTTATACAAGGATACACTATGCAGGTGGTTAATGAAGTGACAAATACAAATGAAAGTTTTGTTATTTACCAGCATTGACATAAATTATTACATCCTTCAATTACAGGTAGTTTTGCAGATGTGCAAAGTCAAATCTCTTATGCATAGTCCTGGGGATCATATTCTCCTAAGTGCAGATAAGTATGAAATCAAGGTATGTACTATATATATATATATATCACATATATATTATTTTGGTACACAGGGAAATAAAGTGCTTGAGTACTTTGCTGAAGTTTACAAATAATATAAGGCTTTATTTTCTTCCATATTTTCTTCTTGTGAGGCTGCATACAAGGCATGAAACTCTTTAAAGGTTATTTTTCAGTGCTTATCTTAACATTTAGATTTAAATGATGGCTCTACATGAATGGTAGTGCAAAGAATTGGTGCTTTCAGTGCATGCCTGATGTGCTAACTTGACAGTGAAGCACTTAACTGCAAGTACTGTTACTGTTGGGGACTTTGGGGTTGGAGATTGCTGTAAGTTTGTGGCTATGGAAGTGTTTCATAACTGAAACACTGTTAGATT